AAAACTTATGGAAAGCTATCGGTTCACCTGACATTAAACCAACTAACCATAAAGCGAAGAGCGCATCAGGTACGAGTCTAAACTTGATCGGTCAGATTGAATGTGAGTGTCGCTTTGCCAACTTCACCGCTTGGGGAACTATTTTCGTCACAACACACAAGGATTTGAACCTCCTTGGATTAGACTGGATTGAGCGATTCAACCTCTTAGATGTTCCCATTAATCAAATCTGTGCAAGTGTACACTTACACAAACCAAAAGTCCCCAAGGCAATGGCAATCGAACAAATTCGAGAGAAATATGCACCTGTTTTCCGTGAAGGACTTGGTAAGTGTACAAAGTTGCAAGCCTCATTGTCCTTAAAACCCGATGCTGTTCCTGTTTTCCGTGCAAAGCGGCCAGTACCTTACGCAGCAGTCCCAATTGTTGACCAGGAACTTGATCGTTTGGAGAAACTTGGGGTTATCTATGCAGTGAACTACTCTTCTTGGGTGGCTCCAATTGTGGTTGTCAAGAAGCCGAACGGCCAGATCCGAATATGTGCCGACTTTTCTACTGGGCTGTATGAAGCGTTAAACACGCATCAGTATCCTCTGCCAGTCCCAGATGATTTGTTCTCGAAACTAAATGGGGGTCAGTGTTTTGCCAAGCTAGATCTATCGGATGCGTACTTACAAATAGAAGTTGATGAAGCTTCTAGAGAATTACTGACGATAAATACGCACCGAGGTTTGTATCAGTATCATCGACTTCCATTCGGAGTTAAGTCCGCGCCAGCAATTTTTCAGCAAATCATGGATACTATGCTAACAGATGTAGATGGTGCTGCCGCATATTTGGACGATATCATTGTCGTCGGAACTAACCCAGATGACCTTTTCAGAAAGCTGCACTTAGTACTTGATCGCATACAAGAGTACGGATTTAGACTTCGCCCAGAAAAGTGCACGTTTTTCATGGACTCCATTAATTTTCTTGGCTTCATAATTGACAAGAACGGTAGACGTCCAGATCCGTCAAACATGGATGCTATAAAAAAGATGCCACCTCCCAAAGATGTGCCTACTCTGAGGTCCTTCTTAAGACTCGTCAGTCATTACAGTCAATTTCTGCCACATATGCACAGCGTGCGTGGACCACTCAATGAGTTACTCACCAAGGACAAACGTTGGCACTGGTCCGAAGATTGTCAGAAGTCCTTTGAGGAGGTGAAGCGAATGCTGTGTTCTGACCTTATGCTGACACATTACGACCCTACACTTGAAATCGTGGTGGCGGCAGACGCTTCGAAGTATGGCGTGGGTGCAGTTATCTCTCACAAGTTTGCTGACGGATCGGAAAAAGCGATCGCACACGCAGCTCGATCACTGTCGCCAGCCGAAAAGAATTACGGGCAGATAGAGAAAGAGGCATTAGTGATAGTCTTTGCAATAAAGAAATTTCACAAAATGTTGTATGGCAGGAGGTTTACCCTGCTTACCGACCATAAACCACTCCTAGCCATATTTGGATCAAAGTCCGGTATACCCGTTTATACCGCGAACAGACTGCAGCGTTGGGCCACGGCCTTACTCGCCTATGATTTTGCGGTGAAGTACACGGCTACAAAGGACATAGGTCAAGCAGACGCACTTTCCCGGTTATTGGAGCTACAACAGCATCAGCAGGAAGAATCTATAATTGCAGCAATCTCCCTTGAATCAGAGGTCAACCAGGTCTTGATGGAGAATTTTAGGAAGCTTCCCGTGACGTTCGACATGGTACGTGACGCAACTGTGCGAGATCCCCTCTTGCGCCAGGTAATCAAATTTCACACTACGCAGTGGCCAAGTGATACTCTATCCGGAGAGCTACAAATTCTCTCTCGGAGAAAGGACGAACTTTCGATCGTAAATGGGTGTTTACTTTTGGCCGAGAGAATTGTCATACCCAAAGAACTTCGCCAAAGAGTCCTTCAGCAATTTCATCGGGCACATCCTGGAATTAACAGAATGAAAAGCATTGCTCGGAGTTTTGTCTACTGGCCAAACATTGATTCGGAACTCGAGCAACTAGTAAAGTCATGTCCCAGATGCGCGCTTGCAAGTAAGGCACCGAGAAAAGCTGACTTAGCTTCCTGGCCGTTGGCAACAAAACCGTGGGAACGCGTGCACGCTGATTTCTTTGGTCCCCTAAACGGTCAGCAGTACCTAATAGTTGTTGATTCCTATAGTAAATGGCCTGAGGTCTTCTGTATGGAGCGTGCGACAAGTGGTGCAACAATTAACATTTTGAGGAGACTTTTCAGTCAACACGGAATACCAGAAACCTTGGTCACTGACAATGGTTCTCAGTTCACTTCTTCCCAATTTGCCGAATACTGCGCACAGCATGGTATCACGCATCTACGGTCGCCACCGTTTCACCCTCAGTCAAATGGACAAGCAGAGCGCTTCGTCGACACGTTTAAGCGATCGCTACTAAAGATGCGGGGGGAAGGAACCACACAGGAGATACTTGATACATTTTTGCTCGTGTACAGATCAACTTCAAATCCCCAAGTACCAAACCAGTTGTCGCCGGCAGAAGCACTAATGGGAAGAAAACTCCGTACTGTGAATTCCCTGCTAACTCCGAGGTGTACTAATGAGCAAGAAAGGAACGTTCGGATGGAGCAGTACTACAACGAGCGACACAGAACTCAAGCACGCCGCTTTTACCCCGGACAGCGTGTCTTAATAAGAGACTATCGCGCGGGAAACCCGCAATGGGTGGTAGGATCGATACGGAGAAATATTGGACAGGTGCTATATGAGGTTAATGTGGGTAATTTGATTTGGACCAGGCATTCCAATCAGCTGCGACCAACTAGCATCCCTGCGGGCACAAGCGCTCGGTTACTACCGTTAGATATTCTACTAGAGAGTTTCGACATGCCATCTAATCCCCAAAGCAATTCGGATGCATCCCGCACAGAAGTCTCAGAGGAACCGAAGGTCCAGACCCGGCGCTGTACTGATCGACTACGGAGACCTGTCGTAAGAATGCAGTTGGATCCAAAAATGAAGTCTTATGTCAACTTTTGCGGGGGAAGGTGTTAATGGGACGGAACCAGCCAATGCGAGCGTTTTACGCTGAGGGCTATTGATTTGGCCATAAATTGAATGTACCGTTAGTTGGACGTTAAGCAAAATATACTTGCCAGCCGTACGCCGGTCTCCTGCTTTGGGAAGTCGGGCTGATCAGAGTGCACGCTAGCAGCAGGTCATCGGTAGGTCAGCCGAAACCATAACAGAAACCTGGCCCATCAGATTGACAGATGTAAAGCGGCTAGTTGCGTTTGACCACGGCACTTTCACTGTCTGTTTCACATCTATTTGGAACACTGTGTAATCAATTAGCGTGTTCGACATCTTGTTTTGGCGCAGGAAGAGTACGTGAGTCGCTCAGTACCGATATCTCATGCGCCAGGTTCTTATGGGTGGGTCGGCTTTCTTCTAGAGGAATAAAGGCCGCACTTCGAGGTTCACCTCGGTTGAATCCTCTCGGCTTCCTGGTTGGGGTTCGAAAGACGACGAGCACGTTTCGTTGGATACACTTGCCGGCATGGCGAGGAGTCGAGCTCAATGGCATCTGTGTTGTTTCTTTATCGCGACCCATCCGGCTTGAACTCCCCCTCTAGCCACGATCTCATTGCTATTCAGCAATGTAGAACAGCGTAATAATATCTGATCTGTAAGCTGCTGCGAGGGACGTTTAAACATTTACAATAGAACCTCCGTACACAGTGTAATCTGCTTTTTATGTTTCGCTTTGCTACTTTAGCGCTATTTTCTTGGATTGTATTGCAGCACGGTTGTGCCTCATGCTGAGGTTGATGTTGCATTCATGATGCCTCTTCACTGTAGTTAGGATAAACCAACTTACACTTAATCTAGGTCTTTTAATCTGGATAAAAGTCATTCCACTTTATTTTATTTGTTTATTTCTGTCACTCTGCTGCATATTCTGTGTCAATATTGCGTGTTTGGTTTCCTTTAAATTCTATGTTGGTTGTTTGATATCCCCGATGTTGCTGTGCTTGATGTAAATGTTGACAATGTGCCTATCTGGGTAACACCCTCCACATCGATTACTGGCTCCAGGAGACTGAATCTTTTCTGGAGGGGAAGGGGTGCACGGTCCCGTGGCTCTACTATGCTCAAAGAGTGGTTCCATCCAGTGTGGAGCGGACTACAGCCCAGCCACCGCCATATGTTCGTCTGGTACACATGTTTCCCAACATAGATAACAGGAATGCTTCTGCCGTGCATGTTGAACAAGTGTGGGCCGGCTGCGCTGATGGAACGTGACTCCCGCCCACATGCCTTCCGGTCTTATTTCTTCGGGTTTACACTGGATATGGCGTGTGTGGATTGAGCTGTGGGGGTGCAGCGCAAACTACCCATGATCCCTCAGTCGGCGCAGACGTCCGGTGGCTCCTATGGAGGCCGCAGTGACAGGCACATCCGGAACCGGATACCGCCAATCATTGTGGCACGATAGCTAGGTTTTTTCGCCCCTAGCTGATGTGTAGAATGAACGAATGAAATGGCTTTGATTTCGGCGCGCCTTTATTGCTGATTTATGGGTAATACCCTTGAATATAATACAGGTTGATGAAAGCGGTAGGGAAGATTTTACACTGAGGCCGCCTTGTTTTTGCACGATACCTGGCTGTTTTTGAGTGTCATCAAATCCCTTTTTTCGCTGACTCTTATCTCTAGTAATAGAGTAATCTCCGTTGATGTACTCTCGTAAGGCGTCTATTCGCCAGCACAAACTACTTATATCGGTGATGCTCATGAATCTGTCTGTATTTTGCTTTCCCATTGTAATGAGATGACTCAGTTTGACCATTTTGCAATTCACTGTCCCAGTTCTCTTGACGAAAGCTTTACCTGTCACAGTGTTATAGTGCCACTTTTGTAATCGAAGTATCCCACAATTTCCCCTCTCCATCCTTTTTTATTCATTCACAGACCCAAACTTCTTGGGAACCTTTGGATTTATCTGGAAGGTTCTGGCGATTACGGGCATCAGCTGTATACCCATCATCATTTTGAAGTTGATTCACTATAAGTTCCGACCGTCGATCTATTCCAAGCTCCAGTGAACTGAGGCATTAGACGATTAGCTCCTGTTTACATGACGTCTACGACCTTTTTATCCACACACACATGTACTTTCATGTCGGATTTATGCTTTCAGCGCGCCTCGTCTCTCCAACATGTCATGGTATCCACATTACGTGCGGTCTTCTTTCCTCTCATCAACTTGACATTTCCTGATTATTTTCTTCTGACAGATGTCCCTGGTCATTCATCGTTTTCTCTTACCTTGTACTATGTGCGATTACATCTCCAAAGTCCATTTTACATGACACTATGCCTTTGTGCTTCCAACGGATAGGTCTGTGGCCTGCGGACTATGTCGCTTGTCAACTTGGCTTGTATATTGTAATCCATACGGACAACAACCGATCCAATGACTTAACAATGTGTGCTCCTAACCGCTATGCAAAGCGTTTTCCTCGTAACTGAGTGACATACTAGTGAGTCGACTACTGAAAGTGCCTACGCCTCATTTTCGAGTTCTGTCCTGTTATCCACAACCAGTGAATCCATTCATGGTTGAAAATCTCGGCAGGTACAGTGTCTGGGGCGATTGACACCTAATCGAGCTGACTGAGGCTTATCCCAGAATAATTCCGGTCTCAATCAACTTTGCGTGCCACAATCTGCGCACGCAGTGTGTACTCCATAGTATACTATTACTGTTCATATTCATCGTAACAAGCACGCCAACGGAGCTCCGTGGTGAAGGGCTAACTCTACACTGGCGAATTCTGTATCTTGGTTCTACTCTACGTTCGACTGTCTGTACTTCCAGACTGCAAATTGGTATGAAACTGGGATGGAGCGCACGGCTATAATCGTGTGAAATTTTGCATTCATCTACTTCAGCTATGCTCCTAATGGCTGAACTGATCGAGTTTTACACTGGAATATCGCTATCCGCACAGCTTATGTTCAACCATCACTTCAGAGACTCTACGCACCACTGGACATTGTGGAGCTTCGTATTTTTACACGCTAGCGATAGTCCCTGGCGGCAGGCTGCGTTCCCTTTTTTCACAAATGCAAAAAACGGCTCCACTACTTTCTGGCAACCTGTGATCGCCTTAGCAGCTTATATGGCACCTCGACTGGTAGCAAATTGCGAAGGAAGTCGTAACTCTGGGGGACAGCCCTGTCCTCTGCGCGTTTGTAATATACATATGACACTGGATAATGAGCCGCTCTGTGTCGCACTTAAAAATCAGCCATGGGTATCCGCCGCCATTCTCCATGACTCAGTGGTCTGACTCGTTAGAGTAAGGTCATATCTTCGGATGAGGTAGATAAGCGTTGCTGAAAAGTCACAACCGGATGAAACGACCGTCTAGCGCTTCTCCGTATCTGTGCTGCCGTCTCCTAATTTGACTGCCTGTTTAAAGTATGTTTGGTGCTGAGTTATCTGCGGGGTAATGGCTGATTATGACGCGTGGCAGTGAAAGCCGCAAGGAAACTGTCTCGCCGTTGCCGCCTTATCTTTGCACGATAGCCAGCTGTTTGTGACAGTATGTTGTCTACACAAGGTGTAGGCGCCTTGACCCTGAATGTTTGCTTAGGGCATTAAGGTTTTCAGGTAAGTCCCCTTCTCTCCCTCTTCTTATTCTTTGTTTCATAGGTTATCATGGTTGTATGGCAGCGAAGCATCAGTACTGCTGTTGATGATGTATCTGTGATGACTGTCTGGCTGAGTCTAGCTACGGTGAATCTTCTAAAAACAATATTTATCTATAGGGCATTGTGTCTAAGATCATTGTCGAGCACTGCTCAATCTGCGGTTTTCCGGTATGGTTTTACATGCCACTTATCGAGCCCAAACGTCTGAATTGTAGAACACAGCAGCCTCCTGGTTACACCGATGAGTCTTGATTTATCTGGATCCATGACATGACATTGGTTACCAAGTTTCGGATGTGCAAGTTCTACTGAGGAACAGGACAATTGCATTCTATTGTATTTTAACTCTAACGTAGGTAGAATCAAACTGCACACATGAATTCTAGTTATCTGATTCATTAAACGCTAAAGACTCCTTTAACTACCCCTGCTACTTGAGTCTGGAATGGCTTAACTCTTTTGTATATGTGTGATGAATAAATGTTTGACTTTTAGATTTTACTTGTAAGCCCGTTTCATTTATACAAGGGGAGTTTATGCTCCTGAATACAGTGAGTCCATTATTCTTGACTCAGTGTTGCGTTGCTTCAGGTAGTGAAGAAGCGATGTAAGAAGGAGAGAATAAACGCGCCAGTTGCAACAGGAAAGTTATCAGAAAAAGGAATGCAACGCACGAGTGGGTGCGGCAACAAGTAGACGCATGTCTCGTGTCGCGCGATCGGGTTTATTGGAATGGAGACCTGCGAACGACTGAGGTTGACTCCATACACACTTATGTGCACGTAACCATTAGATGTGTCTAGCATCATGCAACATATCGGGGAGATAAATAAATATGCGATGTTATTGGGTTGTTGTACTCGCAATGGAAGGTAGAGGCACCCATACACAGTACCCTGCAGAGATAGATGAATGAATAATGGAGACATGTGAAGAGGAAGATGATTGAAAGCACCTTGCAAGTATACTAAATATCAACCTGCCACAACTGGAAAGGGAGGCTGGAATCAACCGAACCAAGGGTGAAGTATGGTGGAGCGCGAATAGAGTGTCTGAGAGAAAGACACGGTGATTGCGTAGTAGAGTGGGTGTCATCGGAACCACCGTTACTCTCGAAACACTTCATCTGCAGTTTAAGGCAGAGTTCGAGGTTGAGGTCATTGTGAGCACGCTAGCACGATGCATCGACGGAGGACTTAGAACCGTGAGGAATCCGGGAACACAAAGTCCGAGAAAGTCCTACGCTCTGGAGCTGAAGAAATTGGAATATGTAGGGAGACAAAGCTTGTGGCTAGACGAAACACATTTGACCTATTGTTCACGTACCAGCGGGCGTTCACCACGCGGAACTCTTGCAGAATGTAACTTGCCAAACATTCGATGACAAAATGTGCATCTTATTGGAGCATTGATGGCGGATAACCTGATAGAATAGGCCACCATGAGATGCAGTTTAAACAAGGCAAGGTGCCCAAGATGGTTCGCAAAATTTTGAACGCCAACTCCTCGGTTTTTAGCAGAGGTTACCAGGTGATCTGTGATAACAGACTATGCTACACGAAACTGGAACACGTATTTCATCATCATCATTAACAACAATAATATTACTTCAGCCATTTGGACAGATACTTTGCCGCCCCATAACCACGATGACATGAGGAACGAAGAATGATAACAGTGCGAGAAGAGGAACCTAGCATGTACAGTGCATTTGAGAAGAGTCTTTCGTTTTTGCTCAGTCGCCGCGCTGGTCAGGGGTAGATTGGAACGCACTAATTTGCCGACCCACCAATGGCATGTACGTCTACTGTATTTACTCATCCACGCATGTCTGGGGGTGTGAATACGACGTGAGGACGCATTGCGGTGCATGTGTCCTTGAAATATGTTAATGACCCTCGTCGATTTCGACAAAGGCCAGCTCAGATTGGGTCGATGCCGACGTTTTTGGCTGGTGGTTTGCAACATCTCGACAGCAGTGCATAATGCACTGGCTACCGTGTTCAAATGTTGATGGCGCTTCGACAGTTGCTTAATGTTATCCCAGCAAATGATAAAAGGGTTAGTGACAACGCTGTTGTAGACTGAATGTTACCTTCACATAAACCACCTTAGCAAAATAAGAATTCGTAACAATTAGGCGGTGAAAATATGAGATGCTACTTCTGCATAAATGAGTCCGGAACAATGTCTACCAGCTACTGGAGGCTCATCGGATCTATTTGCAAGTGCGCGGCCGCCTAAGGAGTTAATTCCAGCAGAATACAGAAATAAAAAGAAAGCTGAGTGCAGTGCCTTTTGAACAGATTTTATCAAATCTCATTTTATTCCATCAGCTTGGAGAATTAAATCAAAATCAGTTTCGCAATGAGCACGAGAAGGAATTTTACAGTATTGGTATGGTAAAAGAATCCTAAAGTAGATAAAGAAGCGTTTAGGTCAAATCTAATCACCCATTTTAGAAAGAAAGGTGATGGAAGAATCCAGCGCGTACGATGCATTTATTTGATTAAGCCAGTCTGTTAACGGCTGAATATTCAAGCGTTGTTGGTGTATTAAGCATTTTATTGACTTGACTTGAGTTCCTCGCCTTGGCAGACTTGAATGTTTAAATATTCCTTATCGCCCAGATACGTATCCGGCCAATTTGGAAAACCTTAATATGCCATGGTACTAGAATTTTTGGTATTTTAAGTATCCATGGAAACTGTGTAAATAGATCACTGAGGATTCACGTTCAACCGTTTGTTCCACGGTCATGACACATTCAGTAGTTGCGAATGACTTAACAAGCGTAAAAGTATTGCCCATTAGTTAATTTCCGGTGGCCGGTGGGACTCTTTTAACTTCCGATATAATTCCACGGGATGTACAGCTGAGCGGCTAATCGTACTCCCACAACGACCGAACAACAACAGATCATGGTGACGTGCTGGTATAGATTTGTTTTCCTATTTCGTTAGACTGCTGCTACCAAAAGAAATGCGGATGTTCTACGTGTGCCCTAAAGCTCGATCCACCTGAGTGTTGGCGAAATGTGGGTGGGTGAGATTTACTGTTTTATGTGAAGCTGCCGTTTGCACTAGTTGCAAAATACCCAAGACAAAATGAACCGTAATCGCTTTCAGCTCATACGTCCTTTTGACACGTCAAAGAAATAGAACAAGGGTTCAAATTCCCTACAGGCCTAGTGATCTGGAAGCAGAGAGTGCGGAGATGATATCTGAGATTGGGGCAGCACTACACGTATGCTGGTGGACTCGCACCAAACCGCAATCAGATCCCTCATGTATGAATTTGAAGTTGACGAGCTGCTAACAACTTGTCGTGGAGTGTGAGGCATGAATCCAGTAATACCAAGTGAACATCCAGTGGCCCTAGCTTGGCGAAAGCTGCTGCTGTCACACTCGCTTCCATAGCAGTCATCCTAGGAATACTGTAAACTGGCTTCCATGAACTTACCTGAGCTACAAATCAAGTGGACTGGTCACTACAGCAAGATTCATCTATCGAAGCAATATAGGCAATCCTAAAGGAGTATGGAAAACGATTGTGCGCAAGATCCGTAACCCTCAATTATCAGATGGTTGCACTAATGAAACTAAAATGGTTCGACAAGTATATTTTATTTCATTAGACATTGACGTGTACTAAGGAATAAATACAGTCCGATGGGTTCTGCCGCCGATTACGTGGTGTCATAATCATGGCTGATTTCACGCAACAGCACCAGTGTTCAAAAATCCCAGCCACAACGAAGACGACCCACAAGAGGATCATTCATTAAGTGACGCTGCACTTGAGGAGTACAGATGACGGAGCAATGTTAAAGGGTTCAGCCGGGCAGTC